TGAGATGAAACTTGCGGCTCCTTACTCAGAAAAAAATGGCCTTAAAAACGATGTATCATTTACCATAGGCTTCCATTAAAACTTTTTACTGCATCCTCCACAGGACGTTCCCTTTAAGTGGTAAAAAATGTCATAAGGCACCAAAAGATAGGTAAAACCATAGTATATCCGTACACAAAATATCAGTTGTTTTTCTTTAACCACTCACCAGATATAATGTTGGTTCCAGACATTTTCAACACCCTGTATATTTAAAAGTTTAAACACCCTGTTATTGTATTGGTTGGAAAAAAGTAACCTGTTGTGTTACATTATCTTGTCAAAATGTTGCTACAAAAATGTTTATTCCTAAAAATTCTTAACCTAATTGGACGAAACAAAGTTGAAGTCCTCATACTCGACTAAAAAATTTTGTATGCTAAACTTTGTTACCATAAGGCTTTTTTACGAAAACGTTAAAAAATCTGATTCTTGTACCACATATTTATTTTTTTGTGTAGTTCTTTCTAAGGTATATTTCAGTAATTTTTGTTCATGTTTTTGATTTATCGTTTTTAACTAATTTTTCAATTTTGACTTTAGTTGTTAGCCATTTGTTGTTCGTTTGACTATCATAGTTCTTAGCTGTCGTCCGTCGTGTTGAGTCATTCATTATTCAATCTAGACTGTCATTAAGTTATAATATTTTGTTTACAAAAATGTTAGTGAAGTAAACGTAAACTCAAACTGTCAATAATTCATAGCCATTGCCCCACTTAGTGACTTCGACTTTTTACTCAAAATTCAGTTTTTCATGTTTTAAGTACTTAAGTTAATCCTTACATTTTGTACTCTATGAATGAAATTATGTTAAAATCGCACTAAATTATTAACTTAGTCACGTCTATCGAATAATTACCCTATAACTTAGTCCTGCTTTAGTTGATTAGTGACGTGATTTATCCAGCAGGTAGGTAGCCCCCATTTTGGGTGGGTAACATTGAGATAAATAGATTATTATATAGCTCAGTAGTGGGTAGCACCTCCACTCAAACATTTAGGTTAAGTACTCTACTTAAAGCCTTACTTAACTTTTCGTAGTAAGTTAGACCTAGCCTATGTAGTTTCATAAGTGGTGTTAATCTTCTTGTAACTTATTGTTCAGTTTTTTTGGTCCTAAAATCTATGCCTAGGCCTTGGCGTGTAAGTTAGAAACTTGTTAGCTAAGTTATGCCTGTATGTATCAGCATAACACAATCATTAACTTCAGCAACTAAACATTACTAAAAATTAAGAAAGCCAAAATTGAATACAATAATAGTTTAATATCCAAAAGTAAAAATAAAACAAAGGCTGTGTGGTCGCTTGTTAAAAAACTGTCCAACCATTCGAGGATGTCCTCAGGAATTTCAGAACTTACAGCTGAGGGATTCAATAAGTTTTTTATATCAAGTGTCAACAAAATTGAAAAAAACATACGGATAAATCATCATGAACCTGATTTCACTTTATTTCTTGGAAAAGTAAATATGAGACAGCATATTTTTGATTTTAGATTTGTGTCGGTTGAAGAAGTTTTTAAAACTATTAATAACGTACGTACAAGTAAATGTTTGGATATCTATGGATTGAATTCAATTATTCTTAAACAAGCTTCTTTTAGTATTTGTGAAGTATTGACCACAATATTTAATAGGATGATAGAAAAGGGTGTATACACAACAGTACTTAATTAAAGTGGTTCCAGTTCCCAAGAAAAATAATGATAGTTATGAAAGCTTCAGACCAATATCAATTGTACCAACTAGGGGTGTGCGAATATTCCAAAATTCGAATAGTTGAACGCTGATTACCCATTAGGCTAATTAGGCTGGAGCCTAGGGCGCCAGTCAGCCAAGTGTTTGCAGATAGGGAAGGAGGTGGGGAAGGGTGCGTTAGGCAGATTTTCATAATCATTATATCCATATATAAAGCCCAAAGTACCCATGAACTTTTGAGAAAACTACAAGTCACACCCCCATAAACCATATACTTAAAATATTCGTAATGACAAGAAACCTTGCGCAAAACTATCCATTATTTCATAAATTGCCCTTTAAGGTCGTAATTCCTTTCTAAAAGGAACTTTCCCTATACCTAATGTTAAAAATACCTCAGCTGTACTTATTTGTTTATTTCAGCTTAACTTAACCAATCAATAGCTTTATTAATACTTATGAAGTCAAACGGGGTGAAGCCCGTGGGTTACAGCAAGTTTATTGTAATAATTGATTTGTAAAAACATTTAACGATACTTTTTGTTGCAGATAAATACAGATAAATGCTGTAAACTAAGTAATTCCATCTAAAGGTCCTAATAAAATTGGTTTAGGCCTAGGTGGTTAACAGAGAGTTAATTTAGAAAGTACGCATATTATTGTTTGGTTTTTTTATATTTTTTTAGGTTAGGTCTACTTTTGATTTAATACAATCATATGTTTAATAAAATGTAAAATAATACATTATTTTAAATAAAAAAGTTTTACATTCCTTGAACAACCGATTTGTTACTATTTTAAAAGTTCCTAATCAAACCATGCATTAATTATTTATGATCAGTTTTCTTTTGTTTTTAAATAAACTGAATATTAGTATAATGCCTTTGGCCATAATTTTGAATTCAGTATTAGTATTCATTCTTTGAAATTTTGAATGTGGTAGCAAAGAGGAGGGGTAGTGGAAGGGAGGAGGGGGCGCGAAAAACGTCAGCCTACTGGCGACTAGACCCTTAATCATATACCCTGCCAGCCCGACTCGATCTGAATGACTATATTCGAACATTCGAATAGTAAACAAACCTAGAAATAATCTCTAATTTCATCCAAATAAATCATGGTATTGTGTTGTTTTATTTCATCCCAACATGTCATGCTTCGGCAACGTCAGCATATTATGACATCTTCCTTAACTCTACACACGAACACGGCCATTTTCAAGGACGATAATTTTGTTGTGTGATTATTAAAATCCCTCCGCTCAGCTGGCTAGCTTACAATGCTCCAATACGATAGGCTTACTGCTACCTACTGGCATGGAAACACTAGACTGTCAACCATTCTTATTTGATTAATTAACAATAGCCTATATTTAGCAGCAATTAAGTTTGTATTAGTTTACCAGACAGATATCTATTTGTATAAATTTTAAATATATTCTTTTAGCTTAGTTAATACTAGGATCTACTTTTTGTAACGAGAACTTAAAGTACAGTAGAATGACGAAATAAGTGTCTGAAAGTGTTGTCTGAGTAGCAACTAGTAAGCTATGACGATAGAACTGCACTTCACAGTCTTTAGCATAGATTAAACATACTCCTTAACAAGACACAAACTCGTGAATTAATTTGTATGAAAATAATCAGCAACATTTTTTTCCATTTTTGAACAGAGAAATATCTTTTTTTAACTCTACTTTCTTGTTTTGTTACACAATTTTGTCTCTGCTTCTCTTCTGAAACAACACAACCAGATGCGTAATAAAGGCCAATGACCCAAATATCATGATTGTGCAATGTTGATGTAAAAATGCAAATCATGGCATTAATTTGAAAATATTTGTAGTTAATTCAGATCATATTTTTGAAGATTCAAAGTTTCTACACGGAAAAAGAGAATCTGAAGTCAAACCGGGGAAAGGATTCCCGAAAATACAACTATGTATCATTGTCCTGCTATTAGAATCCCAGGCCAAGCCACCCCTCTAGTCTAAATATAGCTTCAAGGTTGCACCCTCCCCTCCCCCCTCGACATCTCCATTCACAGTGGCCCGCTCCTTTCGAGGTCATTGTCCAACCCATCCCACCCTTCTATTGTTTGTTTTTCCTTACTAGTATTTCTATTCTGACTTTTTCTTTAAACATTAAATTAAATAAATCCAACAATGTCGTCATAAAATATTAATGGTTTTGGGTTTTGGGACTGCTAATGGTTTGTTATTGCCCCACAACTCTAGTAATAAATTATGAAAATCTTAACAATCATCTGATAAACCTTTTTATGTGCTCCTAACCAACGACAGTGAATTGAAAGTAATTAATTGTTATAATTTGTACCGGAACCGACTACGGTAGGTAATTAGGCTAGTACCTCGGTGCACCGCAGACCCCTAACTGAATGCATTTATATGTTTTTAAAAGTTAAACACCCCGTTATTTGTTGGTTGAAAAAAAAGTAACCAGTTGTGTTACATTATCTTGCCTAAATGTTGCTACAAACATGTTTTATTCCTAAAAATGTGTAACCTAATTTTTAACTACTATTATGGCTATGATCTTTCTTAATAGTAAAATAGGTTAAGCCTTTATCTTAACTGTTTCTTTCTTGACATAATTAGGTTAGGAGTGAAAGGTTTTCATAATGTGTTATACTGTAATATGTTGTTAGAAAACCATAAATGTAGAAAATTATTCATTTTTACAGTAATGTCAATTAAATAAAATGATAAAAAATACTGGAAGCCCTGTACTGAAACGATTTTGTACCAAGAACAAATAGGTAGGGGCAAAATAGGGTATTTTAAAATGTTACATTGGTTAAAATCAGGATTATTAACCTTAGTAGAGTTCCAAAGCTGTGATTGGAAAAGTCTTTGGAGTCTATAATAATGACATAAATATTCGCTCGGTAATATTCGATATTCCAAAATATTATGAATTATTCGATTCTATTCAATTCAAACCCAATAATCACTATTCGCACACCCCTACTTGAAGTTCTGTTTTTGCTCAACTCAAAACCTTATGAACAAGTAACAACTATTGTCTTAAGTAAGCTGACAAAACTTTCTCCCATAAAAAACCTATACAACTCAATTGGCTAAGTATTTTTTTCATGTATATTTTATCCAAAGATTAAACCCTATGTTTTGTTGGAAAGAAAAATATTTTAGACCTACTCTAAGCCACATATAAATATTTTATTTAATCTACCAGAAAAAACAACAGAAAAGTGCCCTCATGGCAGTTGAATTGATAGTGTACTTACCTAACAGTAATGGGGATGGACAAACGCTTCTCACCCTCCATCTCTATTGCGTGGGTTCCACTGCGCATCAAGACGTAGCGATTCTTCAACTTCTCACCTGCAGCCTCAGAGAGCCTCGGACCACAACGTCTATCAACACATTTATGATATATCATGCTATGTGCAGCATACAACAAGTTATTATAAAGGTCCTTTGAACCAAATTGATTTGGTTTATGGCCACACTTTGACTGTAGCATTGAAAATTCACATACAGAATGGATGAAGTTAGATTTTTAAGATTCTACTGGGTACTCCATTTGGATGCATACTTTAAGTGCATCCAATATAGCCTAACTTACATGGAGAACATTCATGGAGACCATGGTTTGTTGTTGACATATCAGACTTAATGAGGAAGATTCCATTCTGCTAAGAGAAACACAAAAGAAGAAACTTATTTATTTTTAACTCTGATTGAAAATTCTGCAAGAAACCTTAAGACAATTCTAAAGTAATTAATTAACTATTAGTGTGTGAGTGAAGTGTAAAGATGTTTTGTATTTCCTCCAGGATAAACTCTTCCTCATTTAGGTAATCCTGCTAACAACAATTCTTAAAACCTATGCCTAAGGCTACATCAATCAATCAAAATAACTTTATTCATATCGCACATTTTGTAGAGAATGGAGTCAGTTATAAAAACACAATATTAAACTTAAGAGGGTTCCCTACCCCCATTGAAAAACGTCAGAAAACCGCTTCGCGCGGTATCATATAGCGATTCTAGTTTTAACATTTAAATTGTGAACCAAACACCATTTTGTACATAAAGAGTGGTTCTACTAAGTTTGCTTTTTAAAAAATGTCTATGCTTACGCAATCAAGGGCAACGACTTGTCAAAGTTAGTGAACTTTACAAAATGGTGTTTGGTTCACAATTTAAATGTCAAAACTAGAATCGCTATATGATACCGCGCGAAGCGGTTTTCTGACGTTTTTCAATGGGGGTAGGGAACCCTCTTAAGACTACTTACAGAGAATATTGTTACTATCAAAAAATCAAATTTCAGGAAGTTGGAAAAAAATCTTCTAATTGATACAATTTTTAAATGAATTAAAATTAGTTATATTTTTAAAATTGTCAGGCAAGCTATTGAAATATTTAACACCACTATAAGATGGGATTTTTCCCAAAAACCGATAAATTGTGTCTGTTGAATGCTAATTCATTATAGTGAAGTCATTTTAAATCAAAATTTCCCCATTACCTAAAAAAACTCTTATAAGTGTAAAACTTGGTACGTATATTGAAATTTACTTCCGGAATAACATACCAAAAGTCCTTGAAAAAAAACTTGTGCTATGGCCGCCATCTTGGAAAATGGCGTCCAAAAACCAGTTTTTCCCCTATTACTCAAAAACTATTCATCCTATAAAAAAACGTTAAACGTACAAAATGTTTGCCAAAGAAAGAGCTACAACTTTTGTATTTAAAATGTTTCGATAAAATTAACCGTTTAGCCATAAAATGCAATATTTAGAAAAATTCGTAAAAAACATAAATTGAGATAAAAAAGTTTTAAATAAACTAATATTAAATTTATTTTATTTTATGAACAGTTTCATACCATTAACAACACTTTTCCTTTACATTTATATTTGCTGTGACATTTTAAATTGTATAATGCTGGTGCTTTTGTTGATAGACTACCATAATAATCCCATACTGAGTTCATTATGGTACAAGGATGGGATTTGGTATGTATATTTATTTCCCTAGTGGAATAACATAAAAAAAGCACCCGCAAAAACACCTATGCATTGGCAATTATCTTAGTAAATAAATATTGAAATGTACAAAAGGATTAAGACATTAGGGCGTTTTTAAAAGAATGCCGGGATTTCAAACGGTCGTTGCTCGGGGACTATTCAAGATAATTAAATGATTTAAACGTCAAATTGAAGGGAAAAGAATAAGGGTTTTCTCATTATTTGATATAATTCGGAATGATTTAATAAAGTTCTGATTTTCACCAATCTTATTGTTGTGTTTTAAATAAAGAATAGATTTGAATAACTTAATGAACTCATTTTATTAAGATGTAAACAGAAAAACAAAAACTGTAAAATCAAAACATAAACAATCATATTAAAATAATGATCAGCTGGTATAGCAATCCTCCTCCTTTATTTTTCTTCATATACTTACAATCTTCTTATTTGGTCCACATGTCTTTTACACACAATTCCTTCTTCCATTTTAACAAGATAAATAACATTTCCTATTTGTTTTTCAATTTTTCCAACTGTCCATTTGTCATTTGAATTAAGGGAGTAGTTCCTCACCAGCACTCCCTCTCCTATATTAAAGTGTCGCTTTGTTACTTGCATCTCTGTCTCTTTCAAATTAGGCTTCTCTACTAATAGATCAAGTTCTGTTCTTATATTCCTCCCAAACATGAGGCTATAGGGAGACTTCCCAGTCGTGGAATGCTGTGTTTTTCTCAACTGTTTTAGTATAGTGTTAATCTTGCTCTCGACACATCCATTTGCAATTATAAGGCTCTTCACAGTTTGGACCACCCTTTCAGCTTGTCCATTTGACTTAGGACAAAATGGAGCTATGGTTTTTTGTATTATTCCATACCTTGTGAGAAAATCTTTGAAAGGTTTTGAAGTTAGCTGAGTTCCATTGTCTGATACCAGGACATGAGGAAACCCGAAGGTTGTAAATAATCTATCCAATTGCTTAACACACCAAGCTGTGGTTGTAGATTTTGTAGGTATAATTTCTACCCACTTACTGTAAGCGTCAACGACGATTAAGTACCACCAACCCCGCAGTGGACCAGCAAAATCAATGTGTATGCGTTCCCAAGGTCCGTTCGGGAGCTCCCATGGGTGAGTTGTCTCCTTAGGTGGATTTTTCAATTTTTGTTGACATGAATGACAATGTTTCACCATAGCTTCAATTTCTTGATCCATATTCCTCCAATAACAGTAGCTTCTAGCTAGCAATTTCATTTTTGTCATGCCCATATGACCAGCATGTAATTCTTCCAAGACTTGTTTGTGTAAAGTGGAAGGTACACAAATTCTATGCCCTCTGAATATGCAACCGTCTTGTAGACAAAACTCATTATCATTCAAACTGAGTTCTTTTAAGCTTTTTCCTGATATAAGATGATCGTATACCTTTTTAAGTTCCTCGTCCTTTTGTGTTTCTTCTTCAATTTGTCTTCTTGATACAGGCATCATCTCTACTTGATTTATTAGATACCGTTCATGGTCGTCACATACATTTGATACTTCTGTAACAGGAAATCTTGATAAATAATCCACATTAGCATGTTGTGTCGTACTTCGGTATTCAATCGTATAGTCAAAACCCGATAAGAAATGAGCATAATTAAAAATCCTTGATGCAGTCATAGATGGTAAGGTCTTTGTCGGGTTGAAGATGGCTACAAGGGGTTTGTGATCAGTTATTAAAACAAACTTCCTTCCATAACAGTATGCAAAGAATTTCTTTAAGCCCCAGTAAATTCCCACAGCTTCTTTATCTATCTGACTGTATTTGCGTTCTGTTTTCGTAAGCGATCTTGATGCAAATGCAATGGGCCTCTCAGATCCATCCTTGTATCTATGTGATAAGCAAGCTCCTAGCCCTGTAGGACTTGCATCTGTTGCTAGGATTAACGTTTCATTTGGGTCATAGTGAGCTAGAGTTTGATCACTTGTTATTTCTGCTTTTACTTTCAGAAATGCATCTTCACATTCTTGAGTCCACGTAAATTGTTTTCCTTGCCGTAACAAACCATTCAGTGGTTCCAGTAAGCTGGACATGTTTGGTACAAAACGTGTGTAATAGTTGGCAAGACCCAAAAATACTCTTAGCTGGTGTACATCACTTGGTCGTTTGGCTTTAATTATAGCTTCGATATTATCAGCAGATTTGTGTAAGCCATTTTCGTCTATCACATGTCCTAAATATTTGACACTCTTCTGGAAAAATTTACATTTGTCACGATTCAAGCGCAAGTTAAACTGTTTGATTCTTCCAAAAACTTTCTGTAGGCGATCTAATGTCTCTGAAATAGTGCTCCCCTGTATCAAAATATCGTCAAAAAAACAAACTGTACCTTCCAGACCATGGAGAACCTTATCCATAAACCGTTGCCAAATACTTGGTGCAACTTTTATACCAAACATCATTTGATTTACTCTATAAAGTCCCAGATGTGTACTTATGGTCTGTATTTCTCTAGATTCTTCGTCCATCGGAAGGTGTAGATAAGCATTACTTATGTCTAATGTGCAGAAATATCGACCTTTATTCATGTTAGAAAAAATATCTTCAATTCGCGGGATTGGGTATTTGTCGTCACATATAAGTTTGTTTGCCGTCACTTTGTAGTCAGCACAAATTCTTACGTTTCCATTTGCCTTTCTTACTGGAACAATAGGAGTTCCCCATTTTGAATTTTCAACTTTTGATATTATTCCATTACTCTCCAGTCTATTTAGTTCTTCTTCAACTGATTTCTTCAATGCGTAAGGAACTTGTCGAGGTTTGATAAAAATAGGTCTAGCTCCTTCTTTTAACTCTATGTGACCTTGTTCTGATGTAATTTTTCCGATTCCGGGAGTGAAAATTTCTTGAAACTCTGTCAATAGTTTGTCCAATTTTTCTGAACAATCATTTTCAACCACTTTGATATCTGCCCAATCCATTTTTACTTCTCTCAGCCACTCTCTTCCAAATATTGGCTCAACCTTTTGTCTCAGGACATACAACTTTCCATAGAAATTAAAATCTCTGTATTTACAATCGACAAAACAAACTCCAAGAGGCTTGATGATTTCACCAGTATATGTTTTCATTTCAACAGCGGTTTTGAAAAGACGTTTATTTACATGTAGTGATTGAAAATCGCTGTAAGATATTGAGCTTAACGCTGCTCCTGTATCAAGTTCCATCTTCAGCTTCTTTCCCTCAATGTCCACATCTATTAAAAACTTATCACTTCCAGATGAAGTTGATCCCATTGTATAAACCTCGTGGATCGATGAATGGTTGTCCTCAATATCAATTAAGTTTGATTTCAATTCCTTGTTTTTCCCAGTTCTTACATCAGTTCCACTTCTAGATAAGCAAACCCTTGAAATATGTCCAATCTTATTACATTTCCTACAGAATTCGTTCTTAAATCTGCATAAATTAGCCTTGTGCTGTTCACTGCCACACCTGTAACACTTGCCTCTTAAATCTTCAAATGAAACTATGGGTTTGTTTCCCTTAAATTGACTTTGTTTGTCTTTGTATCCAGATTGTAGGCGGTTAATGTTTGCAGTTTCTTTTAGCATTGTATTTCCATCTCTCCGGTTAATCTCATAACTTTCAGATTTAGATTGTTCTATGGAAATCGCAGTTTGTACCACTTCGTTGTAAGAAATTTTACCATCTTTTTCTTGAAGAAGTCTAATTCTAATTTCATTGTCTTTTAACCCCCGTATGAACTGCATTTTTAAGAACATATCACTTACCGTACTTTCACAGTTATAACAATAAAAATCACAGTCCGTTGCTAAACGTTTAAGTTCTCTGGCATATACGGCTATGTTCTCTCCAGGTTCTTGAACCTTGCAAACAAATTTATGTTGGTTAGCTAGTATGCTAGGTGAAGGCTCGAAACAATTTTTCAAAGATTCTGTGAGTTCATTGAAGGTTTTGTCACCTGGTAACTCAGGAGCTAATGTATCACACAATGTTTGGTGCATCTCTGGAGAAAGTGTACTGACAAACAAACATGTCTTGGTCTTTTCATCTGTAATTTTCTTTAACTGAAAATAGTTTTCAAGTCTCATCAAAAAGTTTTTAAATGTCTCGTTCTCTGTGTAAGGTGTAAAGTTAATGTTAGGTACATGGCTATCGTGTGCAACTGATATAGAAGTTGTGTGTTCATCTGTAGATTTGTTCGGTATAAAGAATGGCTGTAACAATGCTCTTATCTCTAAATATACCTCTTCTACATCAGCCCTGTAATCTTCTTCTTGTTCAAAATCATCTTCATCTTCTATTTGTAAAATATCTTCGTGTAGTGAGATGAATTTATGCCAAGCTTCCTCTGCTACATTTAATCTGCCAGGAGCATCATTGACTGATGAACCCTTGCTTTTTAATAGGTGTAGAGTTCTTGTAATCTGGCCTTTTAGTGCTCCTCTTTTATGTTTCAGTCTTCTGATATCATTTCTTTCATCACTCGTCGCCATTTGTTGTGTTTTAAATAAAGAATAGATTTGAATAACTTAATGAACTCATTTTAGCGAATTTCCCATATAGGGAATAAGCTATTACCGTAGGTCTCATGGTAAGACCTAGACCCGGGACCGATTTACTTTTTCGTTTTGAGGTCCCCAGAGGCCAAAAACACCATCCGTTCAAATTCATATATATATATATTTATATATATATATATATATATTTATATATATATATATATATATTTATATATATATATATTTATATATGTGTCCGTTAGCGCGATAACTCGAGCAAAATTGATCCGATTTTGATGAAATTTGGTACAAACGTGTAAACCTACATTTATTCGAATGAGTTCGCGAACCAGCATAATCGGACCATGGGATCAGGGGTTTATGGGGGGTTTTATGGGGTAAAAATGGGTTTTTCTCATTTTTGACCCTTAAAACTTAAAATTTCTAAATTTCTCTCCAGACCATTTTGAAGAGCTTAAAAAAACAAATAATTTAGTATATTGAAGTGTTTTTGAATGTTCATTGACTACGGAGAAAATTTAAAAAATAGTAAATTTAAAATTCCCATGTTATTCTTATGGAGAATAAATAAACTGTTCTAGTTTGCTTGTTTATGGATATATTTTAATCAAATTTGGCAATTTGGTTTATTTTATACTAAGCTATCAATATTTAATTGAAAAAACACATCTCAACATCTTCCCCGTAGCAGCAAACCTAACTACTCACTAAAATTAATGTTATTTAAATAGGAAATAAATCTGAAAATTTATAGGGAATATTTTAGTAGAAATCAAGCCGGGTAAATGGAAATTCGCTTAGGATGCAGGTTTACTGCGACGGGGGTATTATTAAGATGTAAACAGAAAAACAAAAACTGTAAAATCAAAACATAAACAATCATATTAAAATAATGATCAGCTGGTATAGCACTTATATTGGCATATAACTGGCAAAGTCTGTCTGTACGCTTTAAGGCGATCGGCGCGTTTATCTGATGCTTTAACTCAATATTTTTTCTTTTTGGCACGACTCCATCTTTTATAGATGACATCATAAAGTTCAACTGAAGACTTCGTCGGGCAATCGATTTATTCGAGCTTCTGATGCAGAATTGTCGGATTTCTTCGACTATGTCATCGCTTGTTTCTAGCCAGGTGAATTTCTTTTCAAAACACTTTGTTGCCACAAAACTCATTAAACCAACTTCAAGTTTCTTTATCATCAGGTAGATTTAGAATTTAGTTTAATTTAGCAATACATATAAACTATGCGAACCACAGATTGCAATCTGTGTCTTCTGTTGTGCCGTAAACCGTCGTACTGGAGGCTGGCGTCAAGCGCATGAGTCACAATAAAGGCCTACCACCGCGCACCTGTTTTGCGCATGCCAAGTCCAAAGTTTCCTCCCTTGCTACAAGGGAAATAAAACTTAGTTATTTTAGCTTCAATTTTACGTATAAAACGTTTAGTTACCTTAAAAAGTACACACACATTTATCATTTAAAATCCCGGCATTCTTTTAAAACACCCTTTAAATCAGTGGAAATAGGTTAATTTTGTATGTAGTAAAAAACAAACCCCTTTAATACAATTAATTATTTTTTTATTCAAACAATTATCATTGTATCCTGTTACGTAATTGTCCCAATCTTATTCATCATCAGACTGAAGTTTTACTGCTTGCCAAGAGTTTCCGCGTTATTATTATTATGCTAGTTTATTATAGTAGTCTGGCAACGACATTTATAATTTCACAGAAAATATAAATTGAATGGAGAAGTTATGTTACTGGTATGAAAATGTTCAGAACATTCTAATTTTTAAATTAAAATAATAAAATAATTTTTTAAATAATTTATTTAAAACTTTTTGAATGGCAATTAATGTTTTTTTTTATGAATTTAATGTATTAATGTATTTATGTTTATGTGTGTATGTTTAATGTATTTATTTTTAATGTATTTTCTGAATATTGCATTTTATGGCTAAACGGTTAATTATATCGAAATATTCTAAATACAAAAGTTGTAGCTCTTTATGTAGCAAACATTTTTTAAATTAATGTTTTTTTAAAGGATGAATAGTTTTTTAGTAATAGGGGAAAAACTGGTTTTTTGGACGCCATTTTCCAAGATGGTGGCCGTAGCACAAGTTTTTTTTCGAGGACTTTTAGTATGTTATTCCGGAAGTAAAACTCAATATACGTACCAAGTTTTACACTTATAAGAGTTTTTTTAGGTAATTTCTTTAATATGACTAGACTATTACCTTTTCTGGTTGAATAATATGAAAAGATTTCAATTTTGGCAATCTTTCATGGTTTGATTTAATATAAAGGGCTATTTGATAAATGTATAAGCTAAAACAGTCATAATTCCTATTTCTTTAAAGTGCTCTTTTGCGGATTCTTTTGATTTTAGTTTTAGCATGATGCGAATTGCTTTTTTCTGAAGTTACAGAATGCTGTTTAGGTTAAAATTTGATGTGCCACCATAAAGACACAACCGAAAAGAAATGTGTGATTCAATCAGGGAATGATATACTATTTTTAAGGTTTTTAAACTACTAAATTTTGACATATGTCTTAATGCATGTATGCCTGAGTTGACTTTATTACAAACATTTTCAACATGACTGTCCCAGTTGAATTTATCATCTATATGCAATCCAAGAACTGTTATTGTTTTAACTTCATTTAGTAAAGTTGTATCCATAAAAATATTAAAATCAGGTGTATTTTTGCTCGTTGAAGAAAAATTTATATAATTAGTTTTTATTGGATTCGGTAATAAATTGATTTCATTTAAATATTGGTTACATTTGGTAAGCTCAACAAAAGAAGAGACTTCCACATTAGAATTTGAATTTCCGGATATTTTTATTACCCATTTACATCATTATCCTCCTATGATACATATATATATTTCCAATAATTATCTCACAGAAGATGTAAATATGCCTATTGATTACCTCCTGCAGTAGTTTATATATTTCTTTATTAAGTTGAGAGAGAGTTCTCCTTCAGTGGTAGATTCGGAAGCCTGCCCAGCTGTCATATGAACATTCATTATGTGTTTGGCCAGTGTCTGAAAAAAATTCATGACTCCTTACAGAAAGTAGCTAATTTTTATAACAGCTGAAATAAAATAAAATAATCACTCTGTACAGAAAGTGGCTATTTTCGATGACAGCTGATATAAAGAAAATACACTTGAGTCCAGCTAATCCAAACTTATTTCCGGTTGAACGCTGTTCGAATTAGCCGAAATAGTTTAAATACAATAGAACTTTGATTATCTGGGGTAGTTGGGGGGGAGGGAGACCATGGGTAGTGAAATCCACGGTTAATCCAAGATAGGCTAGTAAAAAATATACAACAAGCCGATAAAAACCAACGTATTGCTGTATAAATAGACATTAATGTTGTCATGACATTTACATGTTTACATAAAATAACAATAATATTGCGCCATCATGATATTTAAGTCAACTCATGATATTTTAAGTAAACTCATTACAATCTGTAATGTTTAAAATTACAGCTTACTCAAACTTAATAAAACATTAAAATTAGCAATAAATCGTATTAAGAAAAAAACAGGTCTTGTCAGTAAGCTCCTGCTAGTGAAAGGTTAAGGTTACCGAACCTTACTATTTCAGAACAGAGGTATCTATATACAAAGCTAACAAAGATCACAAACTTTTGAAAAAAGCCTAAGCCGCACACCTGTCAACCGCAGAGGTACTTGAATAAAAGGTCTTAATGTGAAACCCCCCCAAAAAGATATCAGTTTTTCTATAAACCAGCTTCTATAAACCAGTTTTTCTTAGGGAAGGAACCTTAAAGAACCTGTATTTAATCACATTTAAAATAAGGAAGATACATCAGCTGTTAGATATGTTTTTGTTTTAGTTTGTTTACTTTTCCTTGAGTTAACCCAATGAATACAAACCTTTTAAGATGCACAATGACTTAGTAAAAGATTATGTCTGGAACTATTTTAATTTTCGATAGTTTATTATTCGATAGTGACCGCGGCCGCCGCTAGGTAGACTATCGTGAGCGCGCGGTCAAGTCAGCTGACTGAGTGAGAGTAGCGCGGCCGCTTCGCGAAGCTCATTTTGGCGGGAAAATTCCAGTCTGATTATTTCCCATAAGCATTTCGCTTCTTAAAGGGTTAGTATTCATTGGTTAACATTTTGATTCCTATTCTACCATGGATTTCTATATTGCATCAAGAGAAGTGACAGTACGTTTTTATTTTAATGTGGGATAGTATTAAAACCTTTGAATTCTGTTTCAATTGTTTACTTATTGTTTCAGTAGCCCTATTATTGTATATTTTAACCCTCCGAGTGTCCCTTGTTTTGGCCTTAATGTCTGCCTATTTTTTAGCTCATTTGCAAGGTTTTATTAAAACGGATCTGAGAAGCTTGAAAACAATGTTAATTATACTGTTCTATATACCATTTTGTTTGGAAAATCATGGGCTTCAATATTATATATAAAACATAAGGAACATTTGTTTAAAAAAAATTTTTTAGGTAAAAAAAAAAATATTTTGGAAAATTTTCAAAAAAAAAGTTTGCGCTCAAAGAAATTGTATAAATTATAGGCCTATAAATATTTGAAAATAGCCACTTTGTTCTAAATTTTATGAGGATTACAAATATATAATCATATAGTGAGGTAAGTTATCAAATAAATAAGTTATGAGTGAAAAACAGATTTCAGTACATTGCGTTTAGCTAAGAATGCATAGCCTAACCATAGCTAGGAATCTGGCTGATAATTTACATCAATATCACTACCTACTTCTTCAGGATCATCAACCAGCCCTTCAAAATCACTTAAATCTTCTTATAATGCACCACGTATATCACTACTTTTGATTTTTAACACTAAAACAATGATAAACGTAATAAAACACATCAGTCATCGGTCCGAGGATAACCAAGCTGTTTACAATTACGCACGTCAGCTGTCTGCTACAATTACGATCGGCTCGGAGAACATACAGCGCTGAGACAGACCTCTGGAGAAAGCTTATAATTTAACGAAAAGAACGATACCTAACTCAATCCAGTTCAATCCGATTCAGTCAGTCATAGAGCCTTTGCCGGAAACAGTGTTAGTGAGTCGCTGCAGCGACGCATGACACTCGGAGGGTTAAAAACACAGCTACTGCTTATTTAACTTATTTTGAATCAATAATCAGATTTGGACTAATTCACTGTGGAAATTGCAGCAGGGTGCATGAAATGTTATTCCTACAAAAAATAGCTATCAGGGTTATCACAAAATCTGAGCTTTATGGACCTGAAAATGACTAACATTATTAATTTGAATATCTCTGATTTGACTATATATGAAATAATAACACAAATACTAAAATTACATGGACACAGATGAAACACAAGAAATAAAAATCATACTTCCATTGACTATCAAATGCTTTCCAAATCTATAAACAGTTGTCGTAGCTTCTAAGGTTTACAAGAAACTCGGTGGCATTACAACTGGTTATTAATAAATAAACTTTATTCACTCAATGAGTTTTTTATTACAAAATTAATTTCTAAATCATTCTCTACATTTTAAAATAAATCTTCCACTCTCTATTAGTACAGTAGCTTCTAAATTAATTTTAACAATGAAACTATTATTGACAATTTTTTTTTTAACATACCGTATGATGTTAGTAGAAATTATTTTCTATATCGTCTGTGATTGATGTTCCAGGCAGCTTGAAGGAGGAATTATTATTTTATTATTACAGTAGAACTCCAATTATCCGAATCAATTGGGACCCGACCCCATTCGGATAATCAAAAATTCTGATAATCGGAGTTTTACAGGAATTCCGGGAATTTCCAAGAAAAATCCTCATTTCCGGTACTAAATGATTTTTAATTAATAATAAATGAATTTAGAACATTTTTACGGTATACAATGCTCTTAGCACAAGTGTTCTTAACTTGTTCTTAATAACAATTCTTTGATATTTTCCAAACCTTATATTACTGTAGCTTTACATTATTAAAATTGTTGAAATAAGCGATTTGGATAATCGGCGATTCGCTTAATTGGAGTTCGGATAATTGGAGTTCTACTGTATATCGTTTATTTTATATCATAAAATTGAAGTTTAATTTTATATTTAATTTACATCTAGTTTTATTTCATGGCAATTTGTAAAATGCAATATGACCCATACTATTGTACTTTATTATACTGAATAGAATTTGTGTAATCCAGCTACTAGGAGGTCACGAATTGTGGATATTTATAGGCATGCACTGTGGATGCGATACTCCCTGGTGTGGATTAACGTCCGCACGAGTGAGTACTATGACTATCCGCAGTACTATCCTGATAATTAGACCAATTTGTATATACCAAGGCAAAAATGTGGTTCGGATTCCACTATAAACTGTAGGTCCCTTAGGTTGCCATTAGCTGTATGGGCTATTAATTAACAGCTGTATATAAGGAATGTCGGCCTTGGTCACTAACAAGACTACAAGATCGCGCAACTCATCCTACACTCATCTCCATTCATACTTGGCTTAAAATACCTACTTTGTATGGTCGCCATCAGCGACCACAGAATTAAAATACCGGGCATGCCAGACTGTACAGTGAAGCCTGTTTCCAACGCTTCACACCTATCCAACATGGCGGCCGCAGTGATGAGTCACCCAAGTACGGCGTGCGCACCTAACATTTTTTTTGTATTTTTACTATCTATTTTACTATTTACTAAACTATTTTTTAGTCACTGACACATTTAAAAAAATAGTGTAGTAGACGTAATGGTGTCAAAAGTTTAAAAACAATGCATTAGCCTTAACCTGTTTCCAAATGATCATTCCTTGGATCAGGATCCTATTGAAAACCCTTTTTTATTGTTAACCAAGGTAATTTGTGAGACATTCTTCACAGTCAGGATACATCACTTCATAAAAATTTACAATGAAACACTTCACAGACAGAAAATTAGGAACCAACTTACAAAAAGCAATTACTTTTATGGGACAGTAAACCGAAGTGAACGAGATATTTATTCAAGGTACCATTAAACATGAATTAACTAAATTACAAAAATTAACTATTATTAACCAAATGTACACCATGTACCAAATGTACCAAATGTAGAGTAATTAATATTATTATTTTTGATTATTAGATTTACGGTTGTATGAAGCCCGTTGTCGTTACAATGTTTTATGATGTTTGTTTTTGTAACATTACGAAACAGCTAGCTTCTACGAAAACCAACTTTATTTACTATCAGTTAGTTTTTCCATTTTTCTTTTCAGCCAATTCATTTAGAAAATGTGTGAACAATATTTTTCCAACAACTTCTTTTTTAAAAACCTTATTGGAAAACATTGTTTTTGAAGCTGATTCAGAGGTTTGGAACAAACATAAATAATTGTATTTGCCATTGTGGCATGACTATATATTAGTGATGGGCGGACCCAAGAAAATGTTGGTACCGGATCCGGATCCGGATCCAGATACACACTGTCATAAGGGCGGGTAAAAAAAAACGTAATTAACAAAATGCCAATTTAAATCATACGGTTTAAAATAATATTGGTTATGTTTAAAGGTTATTATATCTTAAATATAGAGTAATCTCCAGTTGAGCCCATAATCCCTCATTTTTTGGGGACACTAACAAATTCATAAAATGCACTAAGTTTGCACGACCACCAAAAGGGTATCTGTGTATATTTTATAATAGTTCGATCTTCAGTGTACTATATCGTGGTTTTTGCATGCAGCATCCAATTTATTTATGCCTGGATCACCTCTTGTTAATCACTTCCTTAAATTCGTTCCAGGCCCACAGTACTGATAGCTAGGTACAAAACCAAAAACTAGAGGTGTGCATATATCCGAAAAATTGGGTCGTATTCGGTTCGGAAAGATACATGCCATTGCCATATATGTTATTTGCATCAAGAGACAAACACTGAGACATGGCCTTGCCATATAAGTTATTTGCATCTCGAGACAAACACTGAGACATGGCCTTGCCATATAAGTTATTTGCATCAAGAGGCAAACAATGAG